ATATGCCCTTGCCTGGAATTTTTTCGTAAGTAGCCACCCCTTTTTTTTTTTTTTTTTTTTTTTTTTTTTTAGTACTTCCTATCTGCATACCATACCTTGCTTCTATTGCTCTCCCTTTAGTAAGTTTATGAAAGCAAAGAGGCTGCCTAGCCAGCAGGAAAGTGGCCAGGTCTCCTTGACCCTAACTTGTACTAATGTTCTCTGGGTTCCTTGTTCACCTCCAGCTTCAAGTATGTTTTTTTTTTTACTTTATTGCAGCTCCTATTAGCCTCACCTCCAAAATATTTCCTTCTTCAGCCCTCAGCCCCCATTATCCCTCCCCTGGTCCCTAGCTCCTGCCATCATGCTCCCCGACAGGCGCAAAAGGGGACCTGTGAACAACTGAAGGAGTTCACACCTCTCTGCTCGAGAGCCATCCATGGCTCTCACCTTATTCAGAGAAAAGCCGGAGTTCTCACTGCAGCCCATAGGCCCCACCCCATCACCTTCCCCTGGCTGGCTCATCCAGCTACTCTGGCCTCAGGGGTCGTGCCTGAAATGCTCTCCACCTGGTTTTCTTGCATGGCTAGCTCCTCATCCTTCCATTTTTAGCTTAGGGATCCCCTCCTCCAGGAAGCCTTCCCTGCTCATCTAAAGTTGGCCTCTCTGGATGACAACCACGTCAACCTGTTTTGTGGGAAGCCATCCACTGCAGATACTATCGCGAGAGAGAGAGTGCACCACGGAACGAGGAATGCTGTTCTGTTGAGATAGTGGTGGCTCGAAGCGATTTCCTTACCTAAAAGCCTCAAAGTAAATGTTTACTGACCCTTACTGATCTTTACTGATCTTTATTGACTTTAGAGACGGTCTATCAGCTACCTGTCTCCTGTGCTTTGCTGAGGACAAAGATGTGTATCTAAAAAGAATAAAAAGCGGCTGAAACCGGTTTGGCTCAATGGATAGGGCGTTGGCTTGGGGACTAAAAGGTCCCGGGTTCGATTCCGGTCAAGGGCATGCACCTTGGTTGCGGGCATATCCCCAGTGGGGGGTGTGCAAGAGGCAGCTGATCGATGACTCTCATCGATGTTTCTAACTCTATCTCTCTCCCTTCCTCTCTGTACAAAATCAATAAAATATATTTAAAAAAAAAAAAAGCGGACAAGGCCAGGTTTCTTGGAGAGGTCTCCACCTGCCCCCCCCCCCCCAGCCTTCTAAATTCATATTTCTTTTTTAAAAATGTATTTTATTGTTTTTTTTTTGCAAAGAGGAAGAGAGAGAGATAGAGAGTTAGAAACATTGATGAGAGAGAAACACCAGATCAGCTGCCTCCTGCACACCTCCTACTGAGGATGTGCCGCAACCAAGGTACATGTCCTTGACCAGAATCAAACCTGGGACCTTTCAGTCCACAGGCCGACGCTCTATCCACTGAGCCAAACCAGTTTTGGCTCAATTCATATTTCTTGTGTAGTATTTTCACTTATGCATCGGCCCCTCTTTCAGATCCTCAACCCTAGCCATGCAGGTCGAGGCACCGTTTGTTTTCTTCTTGGCACTGGTCACAATCTGCAATTATTTATTTGTGTTTTTATTTACTAAATATCAGCCTTCCCACCCAGAATGTCAGCTCAAAGGGGACCCAGGTCACACCTCTGCTTTCCCACCTTATCCCACGGCAGGAGAGAGTGCCTGGGACACAGCAGGCACTTGGCATGCAGGTGTGGGACACCTGGATGAAGGTGAGGAGCTTACTTAGCATAGCGCCTGCCCCAGGGGAAGGTGCACAGTATGATTGCTATTACCATGTTTCCCCGAAAATAAGACCTACTTACAAGTTTCCTGCTGAGTGAAATATAAGGTATCCCCCTGAAAATAAGGCCCCCCTTAGGCTAAACATGAGAGATTTGGTCCACTATTCTGAAAGAAATGGAGTCACAAGAAATTCACCAAGAAATTCAGGAATTAGCCAAAACCGGTTTGGCTCAGTGGTAGAGCGGCAGTCTGCAGACTGAAAGGTCCCAAGTTCGATTCTGGTCAAGGGCATGTACCTGGGTTGCGGGCATATCCCCAGTAGGGGGTGTGCAAGAGGCAGCTGGTCGATGTTTCTCTCTCATCGACGTTTCTAGCTCTCTATCTCTCTCCCTTCCTCGCTGTGAAAAATCAATAAAATATATTTAAAAAAAAAAAAAAAAAGCCGAAACCGGTTTGGCTCAATGGATAGAGCGTCAGCCTGCGGACTGAAGGGTCCCAGGTTCGATTCCGGTCAAGGGCATGTACCTTGGTTGCGGGCACATCCCCAGTAGGGACTGTGCAGGTGGCAGCTGATCGATGATTCTCTCTCATCAATGTTTCTAACTCTCTATCCCTCTCTCTTCCTATCTGCAAAAAATCAATAAAATATATATATAAAAAAAGAAATTCAGGAATTGGATTGTTATGATGATGTTCCAGAAGATCATGACATGATTGTCATTGAATAAATGAGTCAATTCTTGATACTGTAGGATTCACAGTTTGTCTGGTTTGTGTTGACAACTACTGTATCATATACAGGTAATAAATTTCCTTTATTTTCATTTAACAATAAATGTGTACTGTATTCTTCTTCATGGAAAAATAAGACATCCCCTGAAAATAAGACCTAGCGCATCTTTGGGAGCAAAAATTAATATAAGACACTGTCTTATTTTCGGGGAAACAGGGTAGCATGTAAGTTCCCTGTCTTTCATGCGTGCTCAAAGCCCTCTGGCTGCTGTGGGCAAAGATCGTCTGACAGAAAACAGAAGCACCGAGACCAATTAGGAGGCCACTGCACTGGTTCAGACACACACTGATAAAGGCTGGACTCGGGGAGTCTTGGTGAGGGTGATGAAAAAGCATGCCAGTTTGGGATGTCATTTGAGGAGCTGACCTGACTGGTCAAATGTGAAATCTGAAAGAAAAAAGAGGAGTCAAAGAAACAAGAGTAAGCAGCACTGTTGGGGAGCAAGCTCAGGCAGAATCCTACAGAGGGCACCCTCTGCCTGATCCTTCAGGGAGCATCGGAGGATGTTATATTTTCGAATTGTCCTACATTGGTAAGTCCTTGACCGAAGGTCACCCAAGGGGAACCTTTCAGCTCCCGGTCACATCTGATCCTCTGAATGTGTAGCAAACGGCCCAGAGCCCAGGGTAGTGCTCCGAGAGTTGCAGGTGCAGGCCATCAGACAAAAGCACACAAAACCCTGGCAATGATGCAAAGAAACAATAAAACAGACCCAGAGGGCCCTGGGCAGCACCATGTTCTGTACAGGGAGGTTGATATTGGACTCGTTGAAAGTAAAATTTCCAAGGGAAGTTGTCACACAGATGGTTGGGTGTGTGTGCCTGACCTTCAGGAGGGAGTTCCGAGGCCCGAGGCATGCAACCAGGAATGCTCAGTGTTCGGATGGTCTTTTAAGTCCTCTGGCTTCCTAGGGTCGCCTGGGAAGTGAGTGTAGACCAAGCATGTCAAACGTAAAGGCTCACATGGGCCAAATAAGGTTTGTTTCTGTGGGCCGCAAAAAAACAAAAGCTTCCATTTTCATAGAAACATAGGTTTATTTCGGTAGTGACATGCTGAATACAAAGGCTGAAATGAGTGAGCCATTGTTAACATAATAGAACATTTTAAAAAAATATTTTATTGTTTTTTTACAGAGAGGGATAGAGAGTTAAAAACATCGATGAGAGAGAACCATCGATCAACTGCCTCCTACACACCCCCTACTGGGGATGTGCCCGCAACCAAGGCACATGCCCTTGACTGGAATCGAACCCGGGACCCTTGAGTCCGCAGGCCTACGCTCTATCCACTGAGCCAAACCGGTCTCGGCAATAATAGAACATTTTAAGGAAAATTAATATTTTTGCTTGAACATTAATATTTTTGCTTTAACTTACCAGACACTGAATAACTGCACAAATTAATAAGCAATACAAGTAAATCTATTTTTCTTGTTCTCTGAAAGGGAAATATTTTCTATTGTGCACACCAAACAAGTCAGTACAAGATGAATGATGTGGCAATTGGCTGCTAAAATATTCCCCGCTATTATTAGTGGAGAGAAATAGTGCACCTGCATGTAAGGTACGTAAGGGAAATGAATGCAACACGATTATAGTAATCATTCATTAGCAAACGTTGTAGTTCGTTAATAATAGCTAGTAGCCCCGCACAGGAATCCCTGCACCGCAGGTCAATGCCTCCTCCTGTAGCACCCCGCCCCCCTCCCCATCTCTTGCTGCCCTGCCCGGTCCTGGTCCTGCAGCTCTCCTCCGCTGCCGGAGTGTAGTTCAATGCCCCACTCTCCTACAGATCCCTGATCCAGTCATTATGTGGTCGGTCATTACACCTCATGGTGTAATGGATAATTAGCATATTCCTCTCCTATTATATAGGATTATGTATAACAGGATATTGTAAAAATGAGGTTACAAAATTTTTATTAAAATGTTTCTTACATACTGTTATATTGGCTGGGCCACAAACATATTTGTTGTGGGTTATATGCAGCCTGCAGGCTCTGAGTTTGACATGCTTGGTGTAGACAGAAGTGAAGTCTGTGCCCTGGGGAGAGAAGAAGAAAAAGTGGATGCAGGGGAGAACCAGGGAGGGGCATCTGGGGCCAAGTGGAAGGTAGGAAAGATGGGCACAGGTGCTCCTGGCTACGGTGGCAGAATAATGTGGACACGGGGACTGCTTTGTTGGGAAATAGGAAGGAAGGCCATCAGCTGGTGTGGAGTATAGGGAGATGTTGGGCTGTGAAGATGATGACTATAAGGTGGTTTAGGCCCCACACAGGCCCAATGATAGCATCACCACGTCTGACTCTATGTGTATTTTTCCCCCACAACATCCTGTAGCTCAAATGATGTGGCCACAACTTAGTTTCACTTTCACTCCATTTATTTTTATTTTAATTTTTAAAATTGTTATAAAATATACATACACACACCGTAAAAAACATTTTTTTTTTTTTTTTTTTTTACAAGACAGATCCTGCCGCAGGTTTATTTGTACAAACAGCACAGGACGGCACCAGCGCCACAGACAGCAGCCCGGGGGCCCCACCGGTCCTTCCATCCTCACGTGGGCAGACAGAGGCCTCTACTGTGGAGCCTCCATGGAGAGGAGCCTCCGTGGGGGCCTGAGCCGCTTTGGGAGCCCGAGCTCCAGCTGCACCTGCAGCCTGGGGCTTGGTTTCCGCCTTGGCCTTGGCCTTTGGCCAACAGTCAGCCCCTTGGCAATGCAGGCACGAGCTAGTTTCCCAAGCCTGGGGTGAGTGATGTAGGCAAGTCGACTGAGTTTGCGGCTGCAGCTCTTTGGGATGCTGGGCCTGGGCTCCTTGGGCTTGACCAGGGCCTTGATGGCCTCAGTGCAGGCGCCCATGGCCTTGGCATTGTTCGCCTGCATCTTCTTCAGGCCCTTCTTGTTGTGCTTCTTGGCAAAGCGCATGTTCCTTAGGAACTTGGGGTCTACCCCCTTAAGAGATTTGGATCTTTGTGACCAGGGTTTCTTGATGCTGTTTCTGTGCCATTTTTGGACTAGGCCATCTCTGCACAGAAGCCTGCGGCTGCCGAAGCGCCAGGGACCGGAAGAGAAAGGCCATAACAATTTTTTTCTTTCTTTCTTTTTTCACCTTAACCATTTTTTTTTTAATGTTTTCATTGATTTTTTAGAGGCAGAAGGGAGATATAGAAACATTAACGATGAGAATCATTGATAGGCTGCCTCCTGCTCACCCCTACTGAGGATCAAGCGGGAAAAATAGGGCATGTGCCCTGACCAGGAATAGGACCATGACCTCCTGGTTCATGAATCTAGATTCAACCACTGAGTCACACCAGCTGGGCTCATGGGCCTAATTTTTTTAAAATATATTTTTATTGATTTTTTACAGAGGAAGAGAGAGTTAGAAACATCGATGAGAGAGAATCATTGATCAGCTGCCTCTTGCACACCCCCTATTGGAGATATGCCCGCAACCAAGGTACAGTATATGCCCTTGACCGGAATTGAACTTGGGACTTTTCAGTCCGCAGGCCGATGCTCTATCCACTGAACCAAACCGGTTTTGGCTCATGGGCCTAATTTTGGAGTCAAGCAATTGGAATCTGACAATGGAAATAGGCAGAGGGGTTCCCCATAGCACTGAGGTTAACGCATGTCCACTCTGAGACAGTGGGAAGGCAGCTGGTTCAAAAAGCTTTCAAGGGTATAATCAGGCGAGTTGGCAGATGAAATCTTGGGTATAATCAGGCGAGTTGGCAGATGAAATCTATGAAGATTGTAAGAAATAAGGAGAGCCCTAGCTGGTTTGGCTCAGTGGATAGAGCATCAGCCTGCAGTATGAAAGATCCCAGGTTTGAATCAGCCAAGGGCACATGCCTGGGTTGCAGGCTTGATTCCCAGGGGAGGGGGGAAGGGCGCACGGAGGGCATGTGCAAGAGGCAGCTGCTCAATGATTCTTTTTCATCGTTGATGTTTCTCTTTTCCTCACTGAAATCAATAAAAATAAATATATATATTAAAAAAAAAAAAGAGCCCCCAGATGCAGAGGTCCTGGTAGAACACAAAACACATTTGGGAGCCAGTGAGCAAGGCAAATATCTTTACTTCTATGGAGAAGGGTGCGCACACACATGGCCTGGAAGCACTCGCACACCAAGCAGGTGTCTGCTCGGCTCTATAATCCCTGTTGCCCATGACCTGTCCCTCACTCTTTTAAAAAAAATATATATTTTATTGATTTTTTTTTAGAGAGGAAGGGAGAGAGATAGAAAACTAGAAACGTCGATGAGAGATGAGAGAGAAACATCGACCAGCTGCTTCTTGCACAGCCCCTACCGGGAATGTACCCGCAACCAATGTACATGCCCTTGACCAGAATCGAACCTGGGACCTTTCAGTCCACAGACCTATGCTCTACCACTGAGCCAAACCGGTTTTGGCATGTCCCTCACTTTTGATAGGAGCTCAGGCGCACCAATTTTTTCTGATTTGCTAATTCAAAGGGAGAGGCTGTCCTTTGCCGTTCCAAGATGGCAGCCCCCATGGGAGCTGCAAGCCATGCAGCCAACATGGCGGCTGCCGAGTCACACGGTCCAAAATGGCGGCTGCCTAAAATGTCCTTTGACAGAGAAAATGTCTTGTTTATTCTCACAAGATGAGGAAGACAAATGGATGATGTTCATGAGGATATTAAAGTCTTGAGGATGGCCTGACCAATGTGGCTCAATGGTTGAGCTTCGACCTAGGAACCAGGAGGTCATGATTCGATTGCCAATCAGGGCACATGCCCAGGTTGTGGGCTTAATCCCTTGTAGGGGGCATGCAGGAGACAGCCAAACAATGATTCTCTTTCATCATTGATGTTTCTCTGTCTCCCTTTCTGAAATCAATAAAAATATACACTGAGTGGCCAAGATTATTATGATCTCTGAATGCATAATAATCTGGCCACTCAGTACATTTTATGTATAAGGAAAAGCTTGCAA